AGGGTACCGCCACTCAGAAAACAATATGGACTAAGGAAAATCTACCAAGCATGATCAAGAAATGGCCTGCAGCCGATCAAGCCCAATGGATCTCGGAGAAGAATAAAGAAGAAGAAGAAAGCAAAAGGAAAAGAACCGAGATGTGGTATGAACTAAGAGATTTCACTGGAAATATGGGCATGAATCTTGGAGAAGAAAGAAGCTTCGAAGAATGTGTCTTATGGTGGGAAGCTGGAGCTCTTCCGGGCAACAACATCAAAGAAGCTTTTGTACATTACATGGCCGGACATCTTACAAAGAAATTTCAGAATGCAAAGTTCAAAGATGATTTCTTCAAGCTCAGAGAACTTGTCAAGGAAATTTTGAAGAAAGACTCTGGTGTGAAGAAACCCAGAAGGTAATCTGAAAATTCTCTTAAGCTGATATTCTCTCTATTTTCGAACCTCTGTTGCGCGTTTTTCTCTATAAATTCGAAATATATCAATAATAATTTCCCATGGTCTATTTTGAGTCTTTAATTTTGTTTGTTTAATGTAATTAGACTTCCATGAATTAAAAGACAAGAAATATGTCAAACGCACGACAAAATTAAAAATTGATGATGATCAAAATAAAAATAATTCAAGATGCGTTTAGGAGCTTGTCTAAAAATTAATTCACAAGTTTCTTTTGATTGTTTCTAGAAAACCATTGTTAAACTCATCTTGACTTTGGCAAATAAAATTGAGCAAAAAGATTATTTTTCAAAGACTTAAAGCCAAATGACTGAGTATAGGTTTTGGCATTATCAAAATGGGGGAAATTGTTAGGAATAAAGTGTAATGGTTTTGATATGCCAAATATGTATTTGTAGATCCCCCAATTTTGTTTCTTAGGACTAGTAGAGTCTTAGACCATGATCGGGAAATTATTTAAATTAGAACAGAGAAAAACAGATGAAGATGCATGAAAATAGAAGAAGAAGATATAAAGCCTAAAATCAAGAATTTGTCTGGAGAAAATGACAAATTGAAGAAGAAGATGAATGATACAATATTCACGTCGCTACTACTCAAAGAAATATCCCAGAAGAATTTTCGTGAAGAAAATTAAGATTGGAAGAATGCATGAAATTGACTTGGAAATCAAGCATCTATGGAAAGAAAGGAGTACATCAAAGAAGATTGGAGATTTAATCAATAGTTATACGGACAAAGTGGATGATGCTTGATATAATATGTGAAATGGCTGAAGTTCAAATCTCACCATCAATAATTTTACAAGGTAAAATTTGTGGGCGGTAAGTCTAGCATTGGGCACTGATTACACTTGGGTGGCAATTGAGAAGCGATTACAAGTGAAAATTGGGAAGCAATTGCACTTGGGAGGAGCCGATTTCATAGGAATTGAAATTGGGAGCCGATTTCGCACTTGGGAGGAGCCGATTTCATAGCAATTGAAATTGGGAGCCGATTTCATAGGAATTGAAATTGGGAGCTGATTTCAGCAATTGAAATTGGGAGCCGAAACAATTGAAATTGGGAGCCAGTAAAATTTGTGGGCGGTAAGTCTAGCATTGGGCGCTGATTACACTTGGGTGGCAATTGAGAAGCGATTACAAGTGAAAATTGGGAAGCAATTGCACTTGGGAGGAGCCGATTTCATAGGAATTGAAATTGGGAGCCGATTTCGCACTTGGGAGGAGCCGATTTCATAGGAATTGAAATTGGCGATTTCATAGGAATTGAAATTGGGAGCTGATTTCAGCAATTGAAATTGGGAGCCGAAACAATTGAAATTGGGAGCCAGTTTCAGAGAAATTGAAATCACATGGATTGTTTCACATGGATTGGGAGCCAATTGAAGTTGTAGTATGGGATGCAAATTCAAATTGGGAGCCAATTGAAGTGGGATGCTTCAAATTGGGAGCCAATTGAAGTGGGATGCAAATTCAAATTGGGAGCCATTTTCACATGGATTGGGAGCCAATTGAAGTTGTAGTATGGGATGCAAATTCAAATTGGGAGCCAATTGAAGTGGGATGCAAATTCAAATTGGGAGCCATTTGAAGTTGTAGTATGGGATGCTTGAAGTTTGAAGTTGTAGTATGGGATGCAAATTCAAATTGGGGACCGATTCGAAGAAGACATGGAGATCAAATTGAATTGAGATGAAATTCAATACCAAGAGAAGTCTGGGAGCCAATTTCGAAGTCAAAGTCAACAATTCAAATTGGGAAGCAATTGAAAGCGTTGTAGTATGGGATGCAAATTCAAATTGGGGACCGATTCGAATTGGGGACCGATTCGAAGAAGACATGGATATCAAATTGAATTGAGATGAAATTCAATACCAAGAAAAGTCTGGGAGCCAATTTCGAAGTCAAAGTCAACAATTCAAATTGGGAAGACATGGAGATCAAATTGAATTGAGATGAAATTCAATACCAAGAAAAGTCTAGGAGCCAATTTCGAAGTCAAAGTCAACAATTCAAATTGGGAAGACATGGAGATCAAATTGAATTGAGATGAAATTCAATACCAAGAAAAGTCTGGGAGCCAATTTCAAAGTCAAAGTCAACAATTCAAATTGGGAAGCAATTGAAAGCACCAGGAGAGCCAATTACAATGGAGAAATTCAAATTGGGTGCCAATTACAAGCCAATTGAAATTGGGTGTTAATTGCAAATGAGAAATTCAAATTGGGTGGAAGTTCAAAACCAACTTGAAGTCTGAGAACACCCGGATATGAGAATGGAGAAGAAGAAGAAGAACTTACAGTGAAAATATTCTCACAAGGAAAAATACTAGTCTAACTAGTATGGGATTAAATTAATGAATATTTTTAAATCCCAAAGATACAAGGACCACTTCAAAGCTGATCAGAGAAGTCATTCTACACCAAAACAGAGACCCAGATATTCCCACTCAACGTTAAATCAGAGGAATATCAGATGAAGTTTGGGAACTCATTTACATGGAGATGAAGATCCATCAAACGGCTAGCTTATCCTTTCTGGCATCTTTGCAGAAGATAAGATAAGATCTCTGACAAAAAGATACAAGATTTCAAAAATGTGAGCGTCTCTTTCCAACGGACAGATTCTCATTACCAGCTATAAAATGATGAAGATATGAAGACTTGAAGATAACGAACTAGAGAAGAATATAGAGCAGTTGAGAAACTCACGAACAAGAGAGCAGAAAATTCGAACCCATCAAGGGGAACGAATAGAGCAATTAAGCTTAAAAGAGCATAGAGCATAAATCTCATTTGGTACAGAGCATACAAAAAATCTTCAAGTGAGAAGTGAGAAAAGAAAAAGAACTCAGAGAGCTTCAAGAGAAATATTCTGAGAGTTCTTAAACAGAGCAAAACAGAGCAAAAATATCAAGTGCTTTACTTGATATATTCAAAGAGAGAAAACACTCAGAGCTATCAAGAGAAATCATTCCAGAGTGTTTATCTTCATCAAAGAGACCTGCGCATCATTGAAGATCAACTACAGAGTCTAAGAAGTTGGAAGCAAGACAACACTTGTTTTGGAGCAAAACAATAGAAGGGAGGAAAGTAGCACGGAGCTGTGAAATCCTGGATTGTCACACGGAGCTGTGAGATCCGAAGCAGCAGTGTCGGAGGCACTGGGCGTGATTAGTGCGGGCTTTGTAATCAAAGCACTAGATCACGGGATACGTTTCTACCCGAGTGTGGAAGACGGGGGGAAAGTAACGCGGAGTCGTGAAATCCTGGGATCGTAGCGCGGCGACGTGAAACCCGAAGCAGCAGTGTGGTGTCACTGGGCGTGATTAGTGCGAGCTTTGTGATCAAAGCACTAGATCACGGAAATTCATTGTATCTTGGAACCAAGGAGTGGTAGATATAGTGAATTGCTCTTGGAGATAAGAGCAAGTGGAGTAGGAGGATTACACCACCTCGCGAACCACTATAATTGTCTTGTGTTCTTTACTGCTTTCTTTACTTACTGCTCTTTACATATTCGCTCTACACGAGATATACTGCTCACACAATCTCACACACACTTTATGTTTATTTAATTCCGTTGTGCACCATACTCTAACAATCTAGTTAAGACTTTTGGTTTATCTCTGGCTTAGCAATTGTTGTGCTGTGCGAAAAAGTTTGGAAAGTCTATTCATCCCCCCCCCCCCCTCTCCCCTCCCCCCCGCTCTAGACTTTCACGTTTCCTCTTTTGGGACCAACATATTGTAATATTTTGTATCTTATATTATGAAATTCTGTAACTATATTTTGTATTGTATTGTAATATTTCGCTGTTTCAATCAAGGATTCATAATACTATATGGACCCTAGTCCATGATATAAATTGACCAGTATGACTTATTCGGCAAATTATGCGTGCATACGGATGCAAAAACGACGTCGTTTTAATAAAACGCGCGTCTCTCCTTAAAAAAAAAAAAATCAGGTTCGATTCCCAGCAACAACATATGAACTAAAATTCCATAATCGATAAACTATAATTCCATAATCGATGAACTATAATTCCATAATCTAATCTATGAACTAAAAATTTCAGAATGAATGAACTAAAATTCCATAATCTATAAACTAAAATTTCAGAATCGATGAATTACAATTCCATAATCGATGAACTATAATTCCATAATCAATGAACTATAATTCCATAATCTATGAACTAAAATTCCAGAATGAATGAACAATATAATGTTGTTGCTGGGAATCGAACCTGAATTTTTTTTAAAGGGGAGACGCGCGTTTTTTAATAAATTGACGTCGTTTTGGCATCCGTGGTGCATACGGATGCACAGCATAACTATCCGACTTATTCTTAGACTGATTTGGGCTAGCTGAAAGAAGTTTGTGAAGGTTTTATTTTATTTTATTTTCTAGTTTTGGAAAGGTTTTTGTTAACCAAACCAATTTCCCTTTTGTCCCGCTATAGGTACAACGATTATTACCTCGTACTTCGTCAACACAACCATCATCGGATTCGCACTCTACTCCCATAGCCCCCCATACACTCAACACGTATAGTACTAACTCTCCCTTTTCATCTCCATCTTCTTCTCCGATCCACACTTCCGATTCCCCACATTGCTGACGAGCCAAGGATCGGATTTCCAGGATTCTGCAGGTCTGATCTAACAACAACAACAGCCAGCGTACTACGTTGTTTCGTCGTCGTCGTCGGCCAATTAGCTAAGCATCAGCATGGGCAGCGGAGGAGGAGTTTTGAGCGAGGGTGTATTGAAGAAGATCGTCCTCTCCTACACCTACGTCATCATCTGGATCTTCCTCTCCTTCTCTGTCATCGTCTACAACAAGTACATCCTGGACCGCAAGATGTACAACTGGCCTTACCCAATCTCCCTCACCATGATCCACATGGCTTTCTGCTCCTCCTTGGCTTATCTCCTCGTCCGGGTCTTCAAGCTCGTCGACCCGGTCTCCATGTCTTGGCCGCTCTACCTTAAATCCGTTGTCCCCATTGGTCTCCTCTACTCCCTCTCCCTTTGGCTCTCAAACTCCGCCTACATTTACCTCTCTGTCTCGTTCATCCAGATGCTCAAGGCCCTCATGCCCGTCGCGGTCTACTCCATCGGCGTTATCTGCAGCAAAGAGTCTTTCAGCCCTGACACCATGCTCAACATGCTCTCCATCTCCATCGGGGTGGCCATCGCGGCTTACGGGGAGGCCAAGTTCGATTCTTGGGGGGTGATTTTGCAGCTCGGAGCGGTGGCGTTTGAGGCCACCAGGCTCGTCATGATCCAGATTCTCCTCACCTCTAAAGGTGGGCCAAAAGTTATACTCCCTCCGTCCCGAAATGGTTGTCTCATTTGCTTTTTGCACGCTTTTTAAGGAATTAAAGTAAATGCTATGTCATTTCCCAATTATGCCCTTCACTTTTCTTACTTTTGGAAATAAAAGCAAAAGTCATAAGGGTAAATTGGAAAAGTAGAATGATATTGATGTTCAATTTTGGAAAGAGGACAACATTTTGGGACAAACTAAAAAGGAAAGTAAGACATGGAAAATGGGACGGAGGGAGTATTTAGTAGTGAATACACAACTTTATTTCTTTACAAACCAGTCGTTAGGATCAAGCAAGCTATTACCACTATCACGTACATTACTATTAATAAAGTAGGCACACAGTTAGTGACAAGGGTGAAGTTTGTAAACAATGACGGAGGATCGAGTCTCACCTGTCACCGTGTGGGAGCAACCTTTCAAAGTGGGGCCGTTACTTGTGGGCAATAAGTAAAGGTCTAGCCTATGTGTTCAGCAGACTTACTATTATTTACAATCTCTCAAATGCTCTGTCCAGTGGAGGCGGTGAGGATAGGGTTTAACCTTTTGAGAACAAAAGTAGGCACATTGTTAAAATAGGTAAAAGTATGCCTTCTTTACTTTTTGTCATTATTATTGTTTCTTGTTAATCTGAACAGGGCCGTGGGGACGGGATTTCGTTTGGACTCATAATAAATTAAAAGTTGCTCCTGCTACTCATGCCCGAGTGGCTATTTTTGAAACAAGAATTAAAGTAGTAGATCTTTTAGCCCCCTATCGCCGCGGGGATAGGGGGCTAAAAGATCTACTACTTTAATTCCTGTTTCAAAAATAGCCACTCGGGCATCGACCCAGGAAGAATCAAATTGAAATTGGTGGGCACCCTCTCGGAGAGAGGCTCGGTGAAATATACATGTCTATGAAGATGCAAACCTTGTAGGAACGAAAGTAGGCACATTGTTGAAATTGGTAAAAGCAAACGAAAGTAGGCACATTGTTGAAATATGTAAAAGCATGCCTTCTTTACTTTCTGCCGTTATTATTGTTTCTTGTTAATTTTAACAGGTATCACGCTTAATCCCATTACCTCCCTTTACTACGTGGCGCCGTGTTGCTTTGCATTCTTGTTTGTGCCGTGGGTCATGGTGGAATACCCGGATTTGAAGGAGAATTCCAGCTACCATTTGGATTATATGATCTTTGGGACCAATTCTTTCTGTGCTTTTGCTCTGAATCTTGCTGTTTTCCTGCTGGTTGGGAAGACCTCGGCTTTGACTATGAATGTGGCTGGGGTGGTTAAGGATTGGATGTTGATTGCGTTCTCATGGTCTGTGATTAAGGACACTGTCACCCCTATCAACTTGGTTGGGTATGGGCTGGCTTTCATGGGGGTGGCATACTATAATCACATAAAGTTGCAGGCTCTCAAGGCCAAAGAAGCACTGAAGAAGAGTGGAGAGAATGATGATGATCAGGAGTCTGGCAAGTTGTTGATGCAGGAAATTAGGGAAGGGGAGAATAATAATGCAATTAAATCGAACGGGGAATGATTGATGATATGATGATCTTTGGATTCAATGGTGCTGACATTTTTGGTAGGTTAGGAGGGAATTGAAACTGATGATATGATATGATCAGGCAATATAATGGGTTGGTTGTTCATCAAAGATGATTTAATTTTAGGGTTTGAATTCTAGTTATGAGGTTGTAGGGAGTTGTTGTTCTTTCATTCCACTGCCCATTTTGTCTGTTGAGTTTTATGGTGTTCAGTCATAGAGGTAGTAGTACTCAATTCATGTTGTTATGTGTGCATGGTACCAGGGAGTCTGAGATTTACATGTTGCTAGGAACCATATATGGCTTCTTGCCCTTTTCACTTGGTCTTAATTGATGTAATATCCATCTTGGATCTCTTATTTCTTGAAAGACTACGTTTTGCTTTCTGCATTTTAAGTATTAAGAGTATGCTTAATTATACTAGTTCAATACGGGGGGGGGGGGTGGGGGGGTGAAATTTACCCATTGGTTCATCTTACTTTTTGTTTTTCTATTTTTTTTTTTCTAATAAAAGAAAAATTTAAGCTAAAGAAACATCCCAATAGCATCTATCTAAAGGTGTCAAAGCTGACCTGAAAAGGGCCAGCCTACCTCGACCCCCTTAGGCTCGAGGGGAGGGCTTGCCAAATTCTTAAATTTTGAATTTGATTAATAAACTGTCAGCATGAACTATGAAGTATATGACATTATAAAATTTTTCATTAAAAGAGTAGAGTATTTTTATCAAATTGTATGACAAAGTTTTCCACTATAAAGAGTACAGTATTCATGATCACAATTTAATTTGAACCAAATTCGTGAATGATAAAAGTTGAATCTTATTATTTTTTTAAAAAAATATTCATAATTCTTTATAAGGTATTATCTATTTTATAAAACCATAATTAAATACATACAAACCAATTGTTTGAACTTCAACAGTTTGTTTACAAAATCAGAACTGAACATTCCCCCTAAGATTTAAATTTTGACGTCAGTTTAAAACTGGAACCAAACTGTGATCTCTCCTAAATAAAAACACATGCATATTCTGGCTTTTTTAGCCCAGATTCTGCAGCCTGGTTTATATTCTGAATGGACTTGACCAGTAGGGCTTGACAGGAATAAGAAACAAAATGTGGCTAATGGCATGGCTGAAGCCCAATCCAATTAGGAAATAGGCCAATTTGTAAGTTTATAGGCAAATTATGCAGTGGAAGTGGGCAAATTATGCCCTGGAAACGTGTTCACCATTTCATGGTAAACACGGGTCCAAACGGTGCTATTTTTATGGGAAAAAAAAATTTCGCTAATGTGGTGTTAACGGCGCGCGTTTGATCAGATTATGAATTTTCTGTTATGAGATTATGAATGTATTGTAAATTCATAATCTCATAACAGAAAATTCATAATCTCATAACTGCACATTCATAAATCCATGCAATTATGAATGTGCTGGCATGGATTTATAAATGTGCAGTTATGAAATTATGAATTTTTTTTTATGAGATTATGTTGAAGAAGCTTGCGCGAAGAGGAAGTGAAATCGCAAAATGTGAAAGTGAAGAAGAAAAGTCACGCGATTAATTAAGAAAAAAAAAAAAAAGATAACGGTGTACTAACACTGTTGGGACTGTGTTCATCATGGATGGTGAACACGGTTCCATGGCATAACAATCTGTGGAAGCTAAGTGTGGAACTGTGTCTACCTTGCAAGGTGTACACGATTTCAAAATTGTCATAATTGTGAATATAGAGTTCAAAAAATATGAACATAGAGTTCAATAATTGTGAATATGAAGTTCAAAAATTATGAACATAGAATTTTATAATTATGAACATAGAGTTCAGTAATTATGAACATAGAGTTCTGTAATTGTGAATATAGAGTTCAATAATTGTGAATATGAAGTTCAAAAATTATGAACATAGAGTTTTATAATTATAAACATAGAGTTCAGTAATTATGAACATATATAGAACCGTGTCCACCTTACAAGGTGGACACGGTTCCACGGTATAACAATATAAGTTTATACACAGCCCACCTTGGTAGTTGGAATCAGAAATAGCCCTAAGGCTAACCCCATCCCAGGAATTTTACTCCTTTCTAAATGACATGGAAGAGAGAGTATATTTTTTTTATTCTTTTTTTATGCTAATGTGTATTGAAATGGGAGAGAGAGTTTGCTAAACTAGAAATAGGAGAGAGATTTGCTAATGAGAGAAAAAGCTGCAAAAGTTGTTGAAAAGGACAGCTTGCACAGGCTTTTGATGTCTTTTTTATTTTTATTATTTCTTTTAATATTATTTTATTATATGCAAAATTGATGATGTGGAAGTGGGACCCATTTTAGAAAGTGAGAGAAATTTTTGGGATAAGGATAGCCTAAGTGGGGAATACGGCAAATCACGGTCCACACAACTATGTGGACCACGGTCCAAAATGACATCGTTGAATTTTATTAGTTAGAATAATGTACATTATGAGTTAAAATAATATACTTTATGTGTTACATTATGTGTTAGAATAATTAAATTTATGGGGTAATATATAATTTACTTTATGAGTTAGAATAATGTACATTATGCTTTAAAATAATGTACATTATGAATTATAAAAATATATGTTAAAGTGGATCGCGTGAAATTTTTTTATGCAAACCGACGTTATTTTTTTACCATGATCCACACAACCACACATTAACTATTGGGAGAATACAATTCCAAGGCTGCATTTGTTAGTTGAGAATTCTATGTTTTTTAATAACTCAGGTTTCTTAATATCGCCAGATCACGTAGACTCTATAAATATGTCCCAAGTCCATCAAAAGATAAAGATAAATTAAACTAAGACTCAACATTAGATTATATACTTCTGCCCACAAAGAACTCATTTCAATTCAAACCTAGCAGATCCCTAGCTAATGTCCGTGACTATAGGAATCAAACATCTTCTTGCCACTAAAAATAAGTCTTAATTGTAAGTTAATCCTAAAATACCAGATCTTCAGAACACATTATTCCAAAGGCTGAACCCCAACCCTAAGGGCCCAACAGAGCATTTGGGAGGATGTAAATCATGGTAACTCAACCGAACATGAACCATAGAGGCTAGACCGATGCTCACTGCGCACAAGGAGCCCCCCTCACTTTGAGAGGTTGCTCCCACACTGCCGCTGGTGAGACTCGATCCCTGGTCATTATTCCAAAGTTTCACCTCTATGACCAGTTGAGCTACCCATGCGGGCAGATCTTCAGAACACATGATTTCACATACTGTATTCAATTGGCGTTCAGTGAACATACCTGGCTCCGGTGTTGTCCCGTGAATGCTTGAACTAGAGACTTGGTTTCTCCCTCCAGACCTTCAACATTCCTTTCTTTAAGAACTCTGATGGAGAGAGACTTTAGTTTTATTTTTCTGAAGGTTGGAGAGAGGACCAGAGAATCAGAATAATGGTAAAAACATTATCTCTCGGTTCCATCAACCTGAGAGGTTATTATCTGATAAGCAGTTGGAACTGCTATTATCCTTAACTGGCCAATCATAGAATTATTTCATTATTAAATATAAATAAATATTTATGAGCCAATAGAATAACAACATTAATAATTATTCTAACATTCTCCCACTTGGCTCATAAGTCATAAATTTAATAATGAACGTGAAACATAATATGCATAGTATAAGCTAATTCCTTCATTATATTGGTCAGAACATAAGTCATCGTTAAGTCAGAAATTAATAAGAATCATGGCGGTAATACGTCACTAATTTAACGCATTCCCTTCCATGTATCACAATATTAATTCCAAACTCAATATGATTCATAATGAACTTTTCATGATGGTCCACGATAATGTCTTTGTCAAAGACAAATCCTGTTTATATTAACATAAAACATTCATGTATATATACTTGATAAACTAAACAGGATACTTAATACAGAAACGAAACTATATTGATTTCTAATTATCAAATATATCAAAACACAAACATTAACATAATGTTAACAGTTTCCAATAACGCCCATTCTTTCAACATGCTCACTAAATGCCTTCGGTGGCAATGCTTTAGTTAATGGGTCTGCAATCATTAATCTAGTGCTAACGTGTTCAATTGATACTCTTCGTTCGTGAACATCTTCTTTAATTTAACGGCACGATAACCCATGATTTTTGGCCACAAAACATGGCACAAACTCCAAATTCTAAATCTTTCTAAGACTTTGTTGATATATGCTTTCTGAGACAATCCTAACACTCGTTGTGATCTATTACAAAATATTTCAATTCCAATCACAAAGGATGTCTCATCTATATATATATATATATATATCTTTTTATTTCAAAGTTCTTAGAAAGAAACTACTTGGTCTCGTGCATTAAACCAATATCATTAGTAGCAAGCAAAATTTCATCGACATACAGAATAAAAAATATAAACTTGCTCCCACTGACCTTTAGATATATACACCGATCAACAGTGTTTTCCTTAAATCCAAAGGTCGTTACAGTATCATTAAACTTAAGATACCATTGTTAGGAAGCTTGTCTAAGTCCGTATATCAATCTGTTAAGTTTACACACCATGTGTTCCTTTCCTTCAATTGAAGAAAAAAAAAAACTTCAGGATGCTTCATGTAAATTTCTTCCTCTAAATTTCAATACAGAAAGACAGTTTTCACATCCTTATGCTGCAGCTCTAAGTCATAATGAGCTACTAGTGTCATAATTATTCTAAATGAACCTTTCTTTGAAACAGGTGAAAATGTTTCATTGAAATCAATACCATCCTTTTGAGTAAAACCTCTGGCAACACGTCTGGCCTTGTATCATTAAATATTGCCATTTGAGTCGTGTTTGGTCTTAAAAACCCATTTACAGCCAACAGGCTTACAACCTTTAGGCAATTCAACAAGATCCCATAATTCATTATGTTCCATTGATTTTAACTCATCTTTCATGGCTTTGACCCATTTAGAAGAATTAGGACTATTTATATCATGTGAAAATGAAACTGGATCTTCATCAATACCAATGTCAAAATCTGATTCTTGAAGATAAACCACATAATCATCAGATATAGCATGTCTCCTTTGTCTTTGAGGTCTTCTTAATGCTACTTCTATAGGAATATCATTTGTGGGTTCATTTTTAACTTCATCATGGAGTGATTGACCATTAATCTCTTTCTCATTAATTTGTTGTTCAGGCATGTGATTAAATTGTTCAACCATTACAGACTGAGCAATTTGAGTAACTCCTTGAAGAGTAATTTGATGCATAGGAACAACAAATTGAGAAGAAGAAATTGGAGAATCTTGCACCGTAACTTCTTTAAGTTCCACTTTTCGTGGTTCACTCCCACTTATGTTATCATTCTCAATGAACTTTGCATTTCCAGTTTCAACAATTCTAGTAGTACGACCAGGACAAAGAATCTATACCCTTTAGATTTATCTGGATAACCAATGAAAAATCCACTAGTCGTTCTTGAGTCCAGTTTCTTCTCATGTGAATTATAAATGCGTATCTCCGCCGGTCATCCCTAAACATGAAGGTGCCTTAAACTAGGTTTCCTTCCTGTCCGCAGTTCAAAGGTGTTTTGAAACTGCCTTACTAGGAACCCTATTTATTAAATAAGCGGCGGTTTTTAAAGCATATGTCCACAATGACAAGGGTAAAGAAAAATAACTAATCATACTTCTAACCATTCCCATTAAGGTACAATTACATCTTTCTGCAACACCATTTTGTTGTGGTGTACCGGGCATTGTGTATTGAGCACAAATACCACGTTTTTCAAGAAATTTAGCAAATGAACCTGGGCATCGTCCACTTTCAGTATACCTACCATAATATTCACCACCCCTAACAGATCTTATAATTTTCACCTTTTTGTCTAATTGTCTTTCAACCTCATTCACAAATACCTCTAAGGCATCTATTGGTTGAGATTTTTCATGCAACAAATAGACATAATCATAACGTGAAAAATCATCAATAAATGTGATGAAATATTTTTCTTTTCCGAAGGTTGGGACATCAAAAGGTCCACATATATCAGTGTGTATAATTTCAAGGAGCTGTGTGCTTCTTGTGGTTGCATTCTTATTTGTGTGGTTTGAATATTTTCCTTTAATACAGTCCACACAAATACCTAGATCAGTAAAATCTAATTCAGGAAGGATTTCATTCTTTACAAGTCTTTGAATCCTTTCTTTAGATATGTGACCCAAACGTTTATGCCACAAGTAAGCTGATCTTTCATTCACTAAACTTAGTTTAGTTCCAATACAATGATGCAGGGTTAAAAGAGTTTCAGCAAAAAGATTGTCAAACTTTAGTTTGTACAAACCATCGAAAAGAATACCAGAACCAATAAAATGATTTTGTTTAAATAAACTGAAAAAACCATTTCCAAACTTAAAAGGAAAATCCATAAGAGTCCAGTTTTGACAAAGCAATTAAATTCCTAGAAACATAAGGAACATAAAGAGTTTCAAACAAATCCAAATGATTTCCAGTATCTAAAATTAAATGGTAAGTTCCAATGGCTTCTACTGGAGCTTTGACTTGATTCCCCATGAACACAAATTTTTCATTTGGCTTTATGGTTTGGGTCATAAGGAATCCCTGCATAGTATTCGAAACATGAGTAGTGGAACCAGAATCTATCCACCAAGTATTATAAGGAACTTCAGTTAAATTTGATTCGAAACATACTGATACATAATGTATACCTTTCTTTTCAAACCATGCCTTACGCTTAAGGCAATCTCTCTGAAAATGTCCAGATTTCTTACAGAAATGACACTTGTCATTCTTATGTTCCTTTTTGTGGATTTGAGAAGAGGACTCATTAGTCTTCATTGGTCCTTTCTTACCCTTATGATTCTTCTTTCCAAACGTCTTACCAGCCCTTGTCTGACTCATGAGATTAATTGAGTGAATTCCTTGTTTTAAGACTTGTTTCCTCTCGAGTTAGCATTTTATGCAATTCGAACACATTCCACTTATCTTTAATGGAATTTTAATTCACTTGGAATGTCTCATACTCGAGAGGCATAGAGTTTTTAAAAAAAAAAATTGTACAAGGAAAGTGTCACTCACGTCCATTTCCATGGACCTTAATTTTGTTGCTAAGCTCAACATAATCATAAACGATCAAATACATTGAAGGTCTCCTTTGGGTGATCCAACAACATATAACTTTAAACATAATACGATGCTAAAAAAAATTCATATAATTGGTCATTAAGTATATTACGACTAGACTTGTTTGCTATCTTTGGATATGCTAAACAACCCAATCAAATATAAATAATTAACCACTATTATGTTTATAATTGTGAAATAATTGATCAACCTTTGGGTGACTCTTAAATATTTCAAAATTACAAAACTTCAATTTACCCAACAAGACAAAACATGTCATCTCATTATAAGCATCACATAATCATGGGTAATTGAATTTTATTTAAATTTGATATCTATTAAAACTTTATAATTTGACTACTTTGGTGACTAACAAATTAATCATAATAAGATACCAAGTTAAGTGAATATATTATAATAAATAATATCATAAAATATCCACATACATAATTATCACTAATATGCAAGCCAAATTGATTTGCTGCATTTACATGGGTGGAGATCGAACCCTTCACATCAAGTTTAAAGGGCAAGGTTCTAAACCACCATGCAAATCATGTTGGTTACAAAGAATCATAATTAATCCACATACATAATTATCACATAATTAATTAACATACAATTAATTATACAAATTAATATGCAGTAATATGGCGGAAGCGATAAACACATGCACCATGATTTCTCATGCTTTAAAAACCATGCGCCAAACACAATTATTATAAACATGTGCACACAGTATCATATACTCCATTAATCCTTTATACTGTAATCCATCCTATGTTTAAACTTTAAACACATTAAATGCATGATACAGAAAAATTCGTATATCACTGCATATTACGGTAGAACACTTAAACATTATATATATCACTGCATCATTTGTTTAACAAAACTCACTACTTGTCCAGCACATACGAAAACTTAAATATTAAATATGCATATAAATAGAAAACAACAATGATGATACGCAAACATGAAGTATGAAAAATAGTAATGATTATCATTATGAACATATGCAGTAATACCATAATTACGAGAGACTATGCAGTATCAAAACTTCATAGCAATCCATCACATGCTCTCTATTCTTTTATATAACCAATACAGATAGTATGTACAAACAACAAATCCTATGTATACTATCAAACACTGCACATACGAAATACTTTATATATATATATATATATATATATATATATATATATATATATATATATATATATATATATATATATATATATATATATATACAAATAAAGCCATATATAGAGCAACACTCGTCATCATTAATATATAAACATACGGAAACGCAACAACAAAACGCAACAAGGAAGCCAAAAATAAAAATGATGTCTGCGTATGTATATAAAGCTGACGTATATATGCAGTACATATGAATGCTTAAGCAGTAAGTTTAAACACATAAAAACTATATAATAAACAATACATACATATGCAAAAGTTAATAAACAAACTCAATTCATGCCATCAATATTTTACGAAGTCATTGTAAATCATTACGGAACCATGCGGAAAATCATTGATTACCAAACCAGTGCATACATATGCAAATAAATCAACAGTACATACATACATATATAAACGAAGTAAACCACAGTTACAGTAATCTTTATGCTTCATGCCATCAAAAGGACGTACATACAACCTTTCATCATAATATATGGAAAACATATGTTCTACAACTTGGCTCTTGATACCACATGTAAGTTAATCCTAAAATACCAGATCTTCAGAACACATGATTTCACATACTGTATTCAATTGGCGTTCAGTGAACATACCTGGCTCCGGTGTTGTCCCGTGAATGCTTGAACTAGAGACTTGGTTTCTCCCTCTAGACCTTCAACATTCCTTTCTTTAAGAACTCTGATGGAGAGAGACTTTAGTTTTATTTTTCTGAAGGTTGGAGAGAGGACCAGAGAATCAGAATAATGGTAAAAACATTATCTCTCGGTTCCATCAACCTGAGAGGTTATTATCTGATAAGCAGTTGGAACTGCTATTATCCTTAACTGGCCAATCATAGAATTATTTCATTATTAAATATAAATAAATATTTATGAGCCAATAGAATAACAACATTAATAATTATTCTAACATTAATACAACGTAAAACACATTGGATGAATACTCATTGTATTTGACACCCCAAATGTTGTATGCATGTCAAACCTAGAAGCCATGCATTCAATCTTGCTGCTCATAACAATGACACCCCAAATGTTGTATGCATGTCAAACCTAGAAGCCATGCATTCAATCTTGCTGCTCATAACAATGCTTCCTAACTTCTTCGGATGTCTCTCATTCATTTGTATTTGTAAGTGTAAATATATTGCACATTTAAACCTCTGTATTATTGGCTTAGATTAGTTGTCAAAGTAGTCCTGGATTAGTTGTTGGATTAGTCACGTCGTCTGGAGTAGTTGACTGGATCAGCACAAGGAAGTAATCCAGGAGGTATAAAGCCTGTTCAAAGTATTTATTCAAGACCCTATCAGTTGGGAGATCTAAATCTAATGGAGCAGCCAAATTCAAGGAATGGAAGAGTGCATGCTTTGAGGATCAAAACATCATTTACAACCTATATATAATGCTACCTTAATTAGCATTCAAATTGCGCACTCTTTCATGAAGCCTTAATCTGAAAATCTTGGTGCATCTATACCAAATATATCCTGTACTGTTGTGTGTGAAGAAGATCTTGCAATCAGATCATGAAGCAATGAAGAACGCCCGCACATCGGATCCACTGGAGTAGGTTCTGGAGTAGTTACAGGTTATACTTTAGAGTGTAATTAACTATCCTCTTGTACTCCGTTTTTCATCATAGTGGATTTGGGTTGATGTGAGTGGCCCCGCAGACGTAGGAGTGAGGCTCCGAACTGCGTGAACATATCCTGGTGCAAGCTTTCCTTTACTGCTATTTATTTCATGTTCTTATTATATCTGGAATATGTTTTCATCTAGTCCAGCTTTATAATTGAAATAAATTGAACGTTTTAAAGGCTTTATCTTGTATTCAAGATTCACGTGCTTTTTCAATTGGTATCAAAGCCCGGAGACTTAAATTACTAGTCTAACCGATCTGGCTATCACGTGTTTTTTGAACTCAAGATCTCAGCATCTGTCTCTTTTTTTTTTTGTGTATCTGGTTTACTTGTTGCTCACTGTGCATTGAGTTTGACAGAATGGAACGACATAGAGCACCTCCTGAGCTAACAGGTGACAACTATGCGTACTTGAAGGCCCGCACCAAAATGCATCTACGAGCTCAAGGGGAGAGGGTCTGGAGGGCTGTTCTCACTGGTTGGTCTCATCCCACCAAAGATGGAGTCAATACAGGAGATCCTCTAGTCCTCAAACTAGAAGCAGAATGGACAGAGACTGAGATGACTACCGCAAGCTTCAATCATAAAGGGTTAGATACTATATTTTCTTTAATGCATGAGAGTCAATTTACCATTGTTGCAGGGTGTGACTCGACTAAAGAAGCTTGGGATGCCTTAGAAACTACCTATGAAGGAACTGCATCAGTTAAACAATCCAAGTTACAAATGGTTCAAACCGACTTTGAAGATCTAAAGATGAAAGATGATGAAACCATAGTGGATTTTCATGCTCGGGTACAAGAATTAGCCAATAGAGCAAGCATTTTAGGCGAACCAATCACTCAAAAAAGACTTGTCAAAAAGATTCTTCGTTCACTCCCTCCAAGGTTTCGAATGAAAGTTACAGCCATTCAGGAACATGATGGATGGGAAAAGAAAATGGTACAACAATTGATAGGAAGCCTACAAACGTATGAGATGGAAATCTTAGGCGGACGTGAAACAAAAGGAAAAACCGTAGCATTTACTGTCGAAGACGCTGGAGCAGTCTCTGGTCACGATGAGGTAAGTGATGTTCCAGTAGTCTTTTTAACTAAAGGTTTTTCTAAATTGTTGCAACAGGTAAAACAACGACAATCTGGAAAACTTAGCAAGTTTCAAGGTCAAAGAGGATCGGGATCGAGTGCAAATCGTAACAATCAAAGATCAAACTCATCTAGCCAACGACCAGGTGCATCTAGGAACTCTCAATCCAAAGACAAAACCGGAGGCAAAGGGATCAAATGTTATGAATGTGAAGGGTATGGCCATGTGCAGGCTGAATGTCCAACCTATTTGAGAAGAAAGAAGTCAATGAAAGTTGTACTTACCTGGAGTGATGATGATGAACCAGAAACAGATCCAGGTTCTGATCCAGATGAGATCTCCGGAAACTTTGTTGCCTTTACAGCTCTTACAACTACAGTACCCGAATCTACAACTGGCGAAGAATAAGAAATTGAAGAGTATGTGTCATCAGAAGACCAAGATTTACCTGCACCTTCTTTTGAAGTAGAATATAAAAAACTGTATGCTAAATGGGAAATTCTTGTAAAAGTCAATAGGTCTCTGTCTAGTCAGGTTAACATTCTAGAAAATGCCAAAAAAGTGTATCTATCTAAAATATCTGACAGGGACAGCATCATTGAAGACAATCACAAGAACGAAGAAAATCTCAAACATGAGATAGAAAATCTCAAAAAGGAACTGGAGCAACTCAAACGCAAGATAAAAATGATGGATAACACATCCACCTTAGACCAAATATTAGATTCTGGTCGAAAGACATCTACAAAGTATGGATTAGGCTACTCTGGAGGAAAGGACAAAGCTACTACAATTTTTGTCAAAGCCTCAGGTTCTGACTCAGTCTCTGGAGCAGATCAAGATAGTCCAGAAACTAGTACAGCTCGGCGTCAAGTTAACTTTGCTCCAAGGAAAACGTCAATCAAGGTTAGAATGTATAATCCTATATGTCATTACTGCAGGGTACGCGGACATACAAAATCGGAGTACTTCTACTTCTACAAAGACCAACGCTGTGAGAAATACACAAACAAATCTATCACCCCGTTTGTCAAGCAAATTTGGGTGAAGAAAAGTGACTTTGTATGTCATGTCTCTTTCCACTCTACAAGTACTAACAGAAAAGAGAGATGGTACTTTGATAGTGGATGCTCGCGGCATATGACGGGTGATGCTAAGTTCCTAAACAATATAAATGGAAGTACATGAGAAGTAACTTTCGGCGATGGTGTTAAGGGAAAGATCACTGGAATTGGCACTCTAAATGTCACAGGTCTACCCAAACTCCAACAAGTTCTATTGGTGGAAGGTCTGCATGCAAATCTGATTAGTATCAGCCAATTATGTGATCAGGAGTGGAAAGTCTGCTTTACAAAAGACAGCTGCAACGTTACAGACTACAAAAAGAACTGTGTCATGGAAGGTAAACGCTCTTCTGATAATTGCTATATACTTACTAACGATTCTTATTGTTACAGGTCCAGCATAAAAGAATCAAAACTGTGGCATCAAAAGTTAGGTCACTTGAACTATCGCTCACTTGAAAAACTAATCAAGATTGAGGGTGTTCGAGGTCTACCTAATATCAAGGTAGAAACAACTGGAGTATGCAGTGCCTGTCAAGCTGGAAAACAAACTAGAGCAGCGCATACCTCTCAAAATATGATCAATACCACACACTACCTGGAACTCATTCACATGGACCTCATTGAACCTACCCGAACAGAAAGCATTGGAGGTAAAAGGTATATTTTAGTTTGTGTTGATGATTTTTCTAGGTTTTCGTGGGCCAGTTTTCTCAAGGAAAAGTCAGAAACTTTCGAAGCCTTCAAAGCCCTTGCCCTAAAACTCCAAAAAGAGAAAGATGGGCCAATCATACGCATTAGAAGTGATCATGGACGTGAATTCGACAACCAAGTATTTGATGATTGGTGTGCATCAGTCGGTATTTTCCATGAGTATTCAGCACCTAAAACACCACAACAAAATGGCGTGGTTGAAAGGAAGAATCGCACAATTCAAGAGATGGCTCGGGTTCTACTCAATGCAAAAGACTTGCCTCAGAGATTTTGGGCTGAAGCAGTAAGTACTGCTTGTCACACGATAAACCAAGTTTATCTACGACCCGGAACACATCATACTCCATATGAAATATGGAAAGGTAAGAAGCCTAATATTAACTATTTTCATATTTTCGGCTCACGGTGTTTTATCTTGAAGGACCGAAACCCAACTGGAAAGTTCGAGCCTAAAAGTGATGAAGGGTACTTCCTTGGGTACTCAACGAATAGTCGTGCCTACCGTGTCTACAACAAAGTTACAAAATCCATCATGGAATCGGCAAACGTGGTGGTTGATGATCAACCTGAAGAAATAACCGAGGTCATAAGAGTCTCTAATCCAGAAGATACTCCAGAACCTGACACAAATAATCCAGAACCCCCTGAAACTACATCATCAGATTCTACTCCAACTTCTCCAGCTACCAGTTCAGAACCTGGTCCAGACCCAGATGCTGGAGCACTCGACGGGGCTATACGACTTCACAAAGATCACCCTACTCAAAATATCATAGGAAATCCATCCTCTGGAGTAAGGACTAGAGGGATTAAACGATATTACCTCGAGCTTGCAGGGTATACGTGTTACACATCAGAGATCGAACCCAAGACGGTAAAAGAAGCCCTATCTGATGAACACTGGATTAAAGCCATGCAGGAAGAACTCGGACAATTTGAACGTAACAAGGTATGGAATCTAGTCCCTAAACCTGACGGTGTGAATGTTGTAGGAACAAAGTGGATCTTTCACAACAAGACTGATTCAGCTAGAAACATTGCTCGCAACAAAGCAAGACTGGTTGCACAAGGCTACTCTCAAATTGAAGGTATCGATTATGAAGAGACATTTGCACCGGTAGCACGCCTAGAATCTATTCGCCTTCTTCTATGTATAGCGTGTGCTCTAGGGATAAAATTGTTCCAGATGGATGTCAAAACGGCTTTTTTAAATGGATATCTGTCCGAAGATATATATGTTGCTCAACCTAAAGGGTTTGAAGATCCTCATCATCCTGACCATGTCTACAAACTGGACAAGGCTCTATATGGTCTAAAACAAGCTCCGAGGGCTTGGTATGAAAGGCTATCCCAGTATCTTCTCCAGCACGGCTATAACCGAGGGGGAGTCGACAAAACCTTATTTATCAAAAGGTCAGGTAAGCATATTACAATTGCTCAGGTTTATGTTGACGATATTATCTTTGGTTCCACTCAAACAGGTGCTACAGATCAGCTGGTTCAAGTCATGCAACAGGAATTTGAAATGAGTATGATCGGAGAGCAAACCTATTTTCTAAGACTACAAGTTCAACAAACCGATGAAGGAGCATGATCGGGAGTCTACTGTATCTGACAGCCAGCCGTCCAGAAATTATGCTCAGTGTTGGAATATGTGCCAGGTTTCAAGCGGCTCCTAAAGAATCACATCTTAAAGCCGTGAAAAGAATAATAAAATATGTCAAAGGTACTCTCAATTATGGCATTTGGTTTTCGAATGATACTAATTTGAATCTTGTAGGATACAGTGATGCCGACTGGGCCGGAAATGCAGATGACCGCAAAAGTACATCTGGTGGTTGTTTCTTTTTGGGAAAGAACTTAGTTGCCTGGCTAAGTAAGAAGCAAAACTCGATATCTCTCAGCACAGCTGAAGCTGAATACATCGCAGCTGGTAGCTGTTGTACTCAACTCCTATGGATGAGACAGATGCTTCAAGATTATGGTCTACATCAAGAGTACATGACACTCTATTGTGACAACACTAGTGCGATCAACATCTCCAAAAATCCAGTTCAACATTCCCGAACTAAACATATTGAAATACGACATCATTTCATAAGAGAATTGGTAGAAGACAAGGAAATCAACCTGGAGTACATTTCAACAGAGAAAAATCTAGTGGATCTATTTACAAAGCCTCTTGATAACACAAGATTTGAGTTACTTCGAGCTGCTCTCGAGGTGTGCAGGTTTTCAATCTAAGTTTGTTTTGTGACTCAAATAAAATTTTTGTATTTCTTTTGTTTTGTGCTATTTCTTTCCTTTTCAGATTTACTCCAGAAAATCCTCCAGATATGATCTCTGCTCCAGTACGCTCTCCAGACCGGAAAATAAGCCTCTTTGACCGCACTAAATAATCAAATTTTTTTATTAATTCTTTCTCTCACTTAGCTGTTATACACCACCGTTTCTTCCCCAAAATTTATAGAATCCAATCCCTACAATTACTCTCATTTACCTTTAAAATCTCTTCTACCCAATTCTTCGAATCCTTGCAAAAATCCTCTACTCAATCGATCCGATTGCACCTATCTCTCTTATGGCTAGTCATTTTGATCTTAATCCATTCCTTTTCTACCTCACGGAAGATGAGCGCCTAGATCTCTATCGTCAAATTCTTTTGGGAACAGCTCCGATCTCGGACATCTCTGCTCGCCGGGTTCTTGCAACACTTCTTCGATACCCATCTCTGATGGAGGAGTTATCTGTGAAAGACTCAAAGGAGATCTTTTCCAGAGCATCAGGGATCACGGATGACCCATGGCCGCTTGATGAAATCTTAGACGAGGAAATCCTTCAGGGAGAACTTCGGGCTCAGCAACTGCGGGCTCAATCTACGGTTTGATTTCTCTAATCTCTTAGGGAGCAATATCTTATTGCTTGTTAATTAGGCATGCATCGCATTTTTATGCTTTAATTTGCTTATTCTGCCTTGATTATCTATGGTCGAGTTTCTTATGCCTAAAATTGCTTCTTGCTTTGATTATTTATGGTATGTTTGTTTTGAGATTGTGCTATTGTCTTGTGAAATTAGGATCCCTCTGCTGGTATGTCTATTGTGCCTCTGTCTACGATTTCCTTCACAGGTTCCCAACCTCAAAACACGGACAAGGCCACTTCCAAACTGGCTGAGCATTCGCATGATCCAGTCACTGCTCCAGCCTCGGATCCAGTTATTGATGATCCAGTCTCTGCTCCAGGATCTGTTCCAGAGGATGTTGAGGTATCGATTCGGGACATAGTCTCTGAGCCTGAGGATCCATCCATTCAAGCAGCCATCATCTCAGACACCATTGCAAATATGCCAAACACTGCCCGTGCTGAAACGGCTGTTCCAATTATCAGAGTGCCGTTTACGAAGGCCAAAGGGAAAGCCAAGGTTACTGATCCAGATGAAGCTTCTGCTGCAGCTCCGGTGACTAAGAGAAAACTTCACATGTCCGATGATGTTGAATTTGTCTCTGAATCTCGTCCTAGCAAGCGTTCTGAACATCGGTTAACGGGTCTTGCTCAGCGTACACGATCGAGAACTGGCATGTCTACTCCAGCTCCTGCTTCTGCTCCAGCCTCTGCTCCTGCTTCAAAGCCAGCTGCATCAACCAGATCCAAGACCGTTAAAGTATCCAAGGACACTTTGTTCAGACCAATCTTGCTCTCTCCTGCATTGGAAACAGTATGGCAGCAGCATTCCAATCGCGATATCTTGGTTGAGAAGAATTTCAGTATTGAGTACCTCATTCGCATGTGCAATATTATTCCTCGTCTTAGGGCTCAAAACCTTCTCCAGACTATCCAGAATGTGGGAGCCTACTCTGCCTGGCTTATTTCGGAATTCTACGCCAATCTCACATCTGATTCTCTTCGGCCGGCCTCTCCGCATCATCATCAGGTGTTTCTCCGGGATGTTTGGTATGATTTTAGTCCCTCTATTATTAATGCTTATTTTTAGCGTGATGCGTGTGATGATCTTTTTGAGCCTGCTAGGGACTTTCTTGCTTCACATCTTACCCACAATGAGATCAACATCTGGCCAAAGGATGGTCTGCCTTCAAATGTACTTACTGCAGTCTATTCGGTTCTCTTTCGCCTAGCTTTTAGCAATTGGATCCCGAATGTCTCTGTGCACATTGTCAATAAGAAGATGGCCTCTCTGTTATACAAAGTTCGACATCAGCTGCCTATTGATCTTGGTCACCTCATCTATCATCACATCATGAGTTTTGCTAAAAAGAAGGAAGCCAAGATTCATCTCCCTTTTCCATGTCTTATCACCGGGATTCTGCAACAACAAGGGCTTCAACTCTATTCCAATGAAGAGCTCTGCCATGTTACTCACAAGACTTTTATGGACTCTCGCATCTTCCAAAGGTCACACTATGATGATCGGGCCACTCTCTCCTCAGTTCCACCTGCCCCTGCTCCAGCTGATCCTCCAGCGACAGGCCCGGCCTCTACACCGACTACTTCTGCTTCGACACTGGCGGTTCTTCGTCAGCAAGTCACCTTTCTTACTTCACACATAGCTACCATGAAGGATGCCTCTCTCGCCATTCAATCTTCCATCTCTACTGCCGAGGCTCAGCTGCTCCGCAAAAATCGCCAGATTGCCTCTATTGAGAATGCTTCTACTGATGCTCCTGCTGGTGATGACGAAGACTTGGAGACCTCCTCCTCCTCCACCTAGTCCTGATGCTGCTCTTTGTCCATTAGATTGACAAAAAGGGGGAGTGCACGTAGTAAGGGGGAGTATGTTTTTGTGAACTTAGCCATAAGTGCCAGTGAATAATGTGGTGTGCTTTACCGTTGTTTTTGCTTTTATGTGTATTAAGGTGCTGCGTGTTTTGCCTTGACTATGTGATAAATGCTATGCAGCTATATTATGTGACATGTATGTGTTCTGTGTATCTTTGTGCTTTAAATTTCTATGTGTTTGTATGCCTTAATTATGTTTGAAATTCTCTGGCACAACATTGGTTAAGTTTAAGGAGGGTGTGTGTCTAGCTAGCTACTCTTGACTAGTGACTAATCCGATCTCAATTGTATAGATTATTCATTTGGCAATTCATTTTAAAGCCGATGATATCTTTTAGTAGTTTTGTCAACTAATAGCCAAAGGGGGAGATTGTAAGTGTAAATTTATTGCACATTTAAATCTCTGTATTATTGGCTTAGATTAGTTGTCAAAGTAGTCCTGGATTAGTTGCTGGATTAGTCACGTCGTCTGGAGTAGTTGACTGGATCAGCACAAGAAAGTAATCCAGGAGGTATAAAGCCTGTTCAAAGTATTTATTCAAGACCCTATCAATGGGGAGATCTAAATCTAATGGAGCAGCCAAATTCAAGGAATGGAAGAGTGCATGCTTTGAGGATCAAAACATCATTTACAACCTATATATAATGCTACCTTAATTAGCATTCAAATTGCGCACTCTTTCACGAAGCCTTAATTTGAAAATCTTGGTGCATCTATACCAAATATATCCTGTACTGTTGTGTGTGAAGAAGATCTTGCAATCAGATCATGAAGCAATGAAGAACGCCTGCACATCGGATCCACTGGAGTAGGTTATGGAGTAGTTATAGGTTATACTTTAGAGTGTAATTAACTATCCTCTTGTACTCCGTTTTTCATCATAGTGGATTTGGGTTGATGTGAGTGGCCCGCAGACGTAGGAGTGAGGCTTCGAACTGCGTGAACATATCCTGGTGCAAGCTTTCCTTTATTGCTATTTATTTCATGTTCTTTATTATATCTGGAATATGTTTTCATCTAGTCCAGCTTTATAATTGAAATAAATTAAATGTTTTAAAGGCTTTATCTTGCATTCAAGATTCATATGCTTTTTCAGTATTAAATGATATTTTTTTATGATAAAGAAAATTTGCAGTCGCTATATGAGGGTATGTATAAGGTAAATAAGTTATTGTATAATAGTTTACAAATTACATATGAGAGGTAAATCGCACTATAAAAATTTTGTGTGACGGGCTCGTCCAAGATGGTATCACAAATAATACAATCGTTATACCCTACACCACGGCGCGCGTAGCACTGTGCGCCGCGCGCCTCCCAAAACGACGTCGTTTTGGGATGCGCGGTAGGAAGTTGCTGTGATTATGTGTATTTGTTCACACAATTATGTGTATTTGTTCACATAATTATGTGTATTTGTTCATACAGTTATGTACATTTTTTATACAATTATGTACATTCTTTTTATACAATTATGTACATCCGAATCAGAAAATTTGTGTGTATTATGTTAAGAATTGATGTGTATTATGTTAAAAGTTTATGTTTATTATGTATTATGTTAGATTATGTGTATTATCTTTTAAAAAGAGTATGTATATTTTGTTATATAATTATGTACATTCATGTATACAATTATGTGTATTCTAGTATAACATTATGTACATTTTTGAACAACGGGTTTTTTTTAAAGAAAAAATTACTGCCATTCACTTGGGCGGGAAATTTCAAAAAAAAAAATTTAAAGCGACGTCATTTTGCATCTGGGTGCACAGTGTAACGCGCGCCGTGGTATAGGATATAAATTGCCCAAATAATATGATTTGGGAAATTTAACTAAATTTTCATAATTATTGACAAATTGTAAGTTTGTGACTTCATCAGTCTATTCGATCATTCCATCACAAGTTAAACATTATTCCAAAAGGCTGAACCCCAACCCTAAGGGCCCCCCACACCCCGGCCCGACAGAGCATTTGGGAGGATGTAAATCATGGTGACTCAACTGAACATGAACCATAGAGGCTAGACCGGTGCTCACTGCGCACAAGAAGCCCCCCTCACTTTGAGAGGTTGCTCCCACACTGCCGCTGGTGAGACTCAATCCCTAGTCATTATTCCAAAGTTTCACCTCTATGACCCGTTGAGCTACCCATGCGGGCCATCACAAGTTAAACATGGAGTTACATCAGGTTGTAAAGGGAAATGATCGAAAGATAGAGATTAACAAATTATGTAATAAGGACTAATTAATTAACAATTTATGAAGCTAACAATAAAACTTAAATAATCAATACGATTAACAATTATCATATATCCTTTAAAAAAAAATAATTATCATATATAAATTTGGACTAAGGAAAACATGTCACTTAAATTTTTTTTTTTTTTTTTTTAGTACTACTGACTCTGTTACAATTAGACCTTTCATTTGGGAGAGAGTCACTTCATGCCACTAGACCACAAGTTCATTGGCAGCAACATATCACTTAAATAATTCACTAAATTTATAGCTATCGTGCAATTGGACCATTGAATTTAAGTGCGTAATTAAATTATTAAATAAGTAAAATATGTTCAATAATGATATTTTTAACTTTTTTT